TTGGCTAGAACGCTTTTTTTTCTTAGTTCTATCTCAGGATTTTCATTGGTCAGAATATATTCCGTGCCAGATTCTGACCAATCAGATATCTGAGATCGGAGTTTGAGCTTAGAAAAAATAATTGTCTCTAACCACCGACTCCGGAAGTTTCTGACAAAGAACAATAACTCGGTAAAAATCCCTGCCGACAGTAACTTTCAATTATGATGTCAAAATCAAGTGTGAGGTTTCAAGCAAATATCTCAAGAGAGTGATGAGACTGTAAGTTTAACATGAAGTTGCTCGCAGAATTTTATCAAAAGTGAACGCCGACATCGATGCCTTCGCACGGCTGAGTTGCATTTATATATAGACACTATATTCTTCTACCTAACAAGAACCCGACAAACAGTCATACGTTCGAATGATTGAACATTACGGTGATTCCACATTGTCAGCCATGTTTGTTTTCGCTAACTGGGTCCAAAGTGAAAGTAGCGATGCGGAGCCACCTTAAAATTCTCTACTAAAATAAACCATAAACTTGATCTATACGTTGTAGTGAAACATTTGCAAAAGGAAAACTTACGTGTCAACGTTCTGTTTCACTTACTTCTGTTTACGATTTAAGTTTCATCTATCATTTTTTTATAGACCAGACTTTGTCTACTCAAAACCATATATAGCACTTGACTGCAAAGTTTACTCTGCGTGTGTTTTTTACGCTCGAAATGACATAACGGCGCAAGGCAGCTCGATTTGCTCGTATTGCACAAGGATTTTATTTTATTCCATCACCATATTAAAAGGCCTATAACATGTATAATCTGTATATGTCACGTTACTCGATAGAAAAGTGTTGACTTAGTATAAATTTTGACGATAACTGGTCCTCCTAACACTGCCCAAACCCCTCCCATAAAAATAAAAAAAATAATAAAAATATGTTCCATCATCAACAATGTAGAGCATAAAAAACTCATTTGCTTATTTAAACTCAAAATTTATTAAGTATTTTTAAATTGAAAGTAGTCCCGGACACTTTGAAATCATGTGTCCCCATGTCGTCTGATTGTGAGCTTGGATTGTTTCACAATGATTGCATAACGGAAAGAACTGGTTAACAGAAAAATTGAATGTGATCTTAGTATGAGCGGTGTATATAGTGCCTGAATTACACAGCTACGAAAATGATTGTGTTAAATTTCCTCGACGCTGAGTGTCGTTCTTTATGGACATTATTTTTATTTATGGACATTATTTTTATTTATGGATATTATCTTTATTTATGAATATTATTTTTTATTTAAAAGAAACAATCAAACTTTAATTATTTTAGGCCTTTATTACATAACAAAAAATGAATAATATCAACAAGAAACTATATTTTGAAATAAAAAAAGAGAAATACTTTAAATGGCATAGATGTAATATAGTAGAAAATAAAGTTTACAAAACACCTAAGAATATGCATGTTTATATACTAAAATAGTCCAAAATAAAAATAATATGTCTATAATTTGCCAAAAATTTTGATATTATAAACACTAAATATTTCATTCGTTTTCTTTATATGAAGATAACTTTTTGATACCTCTCATTTTTGAGCCAGGACACTAAATATTTCATTTGATTCCTATACATGTATAAAGATAGCTGTTTTAAGCCAAGAGAAGATAACTCCCAATTATAAACAACAAAATATATCCGAATATCAATATAGTTGTCCGAAACATCGCTCCGTTTCAATTAACGGAAACAGTTAAACTAAATCAATATCCTTATGAAAACACTGTCGTTCTTTTAGAACATTAAAATAATATTATAGTAAAAATCGTAGGACTACATTTAGTTATGTTCTTTTTTTGCTGGTACTCAATTCGTGTTGAAAATATTGGCAAAGAAAAGACATAGTTTTCATGTTTGGACTAAATTTCGTATTATTAACATTATGAACAACAAAGGGCAACGGTATGGTATTGATAATTATTATACCTCACGTAAACGTTTTACTATATAGCTTGCTTGACGTCACATGGTGTTATATTTCGATCCTAGAAATGAATATCACAATATTCCCCATGGGCGAGTAATCTATATAGGCTTAGGAAAACGAAAATATTCTAGTTCTCTCCCCTCATAAAAGATAAAAATGTTGGTTCGGTGTAATAAAATAATAACATTTGTCTCTCGGGGTAATAGTGCATATTATCAACCCTTGAACTCCTTCCTCGGGTTTTATTTCAGTCCTCGGGTTGCTAATATGCATTATTACGTTGAGAGACATGAGTTTTTTTTATAATACATATGGTCGAAATATTTTACAAGATATCAGAAGAACAAAAATTCTATAACAAGAAAATAAATAACTAAACCGATTCGGCTAATGTTTGAACACTGTGTAAATAAATGTTTCTAACTACCTGAACCTACATGTATAATATGTTTGATGTGAACTATATTTACTGCAAAAAAGTCTTTAAATGCCCTGAATTATCAAAGTCACTTTATATAAAGGGCACTATAAAATAAATTCGCGCTAGTTACATTCACCTATAAAACTGTTTGAATATGCAGCTCGTATTCATTATGTAAAATGTCATCTATACATTATTCTTCTGTCAGAAATATTCATATTTTTAAACTGTATCATATTTACTTCCATTATTATTCCAAATGCTTTATACCATGTTGAAAAAAAATGGAAATATCCTTAGAAAATGCAACATTTCTAACAAAATCTACCCTGATATAATTGTACCAACAAAAACTCATCAGGACAAGTTCCATTCTGTTCTGTTCTATAGTAAAAGTAGTGAATAGTACCACAAGTTTGTAAAAACAAAAGGCATTGCCCGTAAAAAATATGTACAAAAGGTATATTCGATTATTGAAGATCAATTACTAGTTTTTAAGAGGATGAATTTGCCAAAGCAAAAAAAAGTCGTTTCTGAGGCATGCCTTTAAAAAATGAACTTTCGCGAAACACTTCAACCGAAGCGACTTCTTTAAAAATAATTACAAAGAATTAAAGAAGAAAAAAATGTGCCAGTTATTTACACAAATTTGTTTTGGCTTTTTATAAACCAGGAAAAATAACAAAAAGTAGTTAACAAAGTACATAAATGCGTACATTCTTAGAAATAAAACACGTGAACATGATTTGAATATTGAAAATATTATTAAAAGAAATGGTCATGATGAAGATAATCGTATTTTTTCAATGAAAGTTTTATTTCTACTTGAACACTTGAATATATACGTCAAAAAATGAACGTTAGTTGTGCCCCTTCCCCCACTCTACACCATTATTTCCTGTAAATACAATGTAAGGGGTAAATCATTTTTGATATAGTGCGGACTGCATGCGAATAGTTTAAAATTTCTATCATTAAATGAATGGGATAAGTCTATATTTGAAATCATTATGTTGTTTGGAAGATAAAAACGTTTTCTGGTTCAAAATAATATATAAAACATAATTATGTCATTATTAAAGACATAACAATATAATCATATTAGTAAAGATATACTATGCTCAACTATTATATTTTGATAATTGCTACATAGTACCTTTGTAAATATAAAATAAACATGTTTTGACTTCACATAAAGTAGATATGTTATGTTAAAAACTCTACACACTATAGGTGGTCATGATATGAAAAAAAAACTAGCAGGGTTTTTTAAGACAGGACCAACTTTACTTGCAGCTTCCCATACATAGTTTATTCAATCTTTCATTCGAATTAGAAAAAAAAGTAAGAATGTCATAGATTTCCGTAAATTTCTGTGATTAAAATATTTCACTCAAGGGTGAGCATGGTATATCTCTGAATAGTCTTCATAGTTCATTATTAATATACGTAGATTTTTAAGTTAACAGTGTTTCAGAAGCGACTTAGTATAATATAGAGAAATACGCGTCAACATAATTAATCATAATTAATGTGTTAGAAATATCACTTATATTTCATTTAAAACATGAAGAATCACAAAGGTTTTAAAAATAAATTTAAATCATATTTTAAATACTAGTTTAAAAAATAAGAGAACAATAATCTTAACAAACAACAAGTCATTAAAATAAAATTAACGTATTGCACAAAATAAAACTGTATATTTACAATAATATGTTAATAAACTGCCAAAAGAGGGCTGAATACTTTTTTATATATAAAACAACGTACATAAAGCATTTTAAAATCTTTAAAAATGACTTGATACCGTCAAAGAAAATATAAAAAAGAAGAGATCATAAAGTAGAGAGAAAAATAGAAATTACATGATCTATGATAAATAAAAAGCGAATTGACTAATAAATATTGAAGGCACTCGCGTTTGTTCAATTATTTGTATAGTAGTTTTTGGAAAGTTTTTTGACTTTGACATCATGTTTAAACATCATGTTTTGACATGTTTAGACATTATGTTTTAACAATATTGCTATAAAGCTCGCGAAAAAGTGCTTAAAAATAGCTTAAAAATACAGGTGTCAAGTGAGTCTAAGAACTGTAATTTCTCGAAACCGCGGCCCTTTTCCTGATGGTCAAAAAGGCTGTTCAAAAAGCTAGATACTTTAGATTAGAAGTGAAGGTCAGTTATTTTGTTGAAGAAATTCTAACTGTTAAGAACATCTAACATTTATTAACTTATATAAGCACAAAAGAGCTTAAACGATACATAATGTGCTTCAGTGTTTTTGAAAATGCCGCTTTTTTATGACAACCTCTGACACAGTAACTGTGAATCGGCGCCAATTTTAGATTTGCAAGGGAAATAATTTTGAAAAATCCTAAATGTGTGTTACCGCAGTAACTCTTCTTACTTGTGTCTCTAAATTAATATCTTCTTTATATAAATGATATTACTTTCTTTTGTATCTTTAATTTTGCATTTACAATAATCAGGGAATACAGCGTTTAGTCGTGTACACGATTTAGACCATATTCATGCACAAATCTGATATAAAACAGTCGGATACACAATCTAGAGCATATTCATGCACAACTCTGGAAAAACATGACTTGCACATAATCATTTTGTGTTTACACAAATGTTTAGCATATTGCATATATACAAACATACGCCATAGTACAAATATCAACACATCTGTCAGACACAAGTCTCGCTGTATTGTTGCAATGAGGGGTCATCATCTTGCCCGCTTGTCGAATGACCAACGAGAATAGGTGTCACGTGAGTTTCGTGGTGGTCACGTGCTCTGTCAGCTGACTTGGACCGGAAACGATTTTTGATTCGTTGAAGCGTCGACTGTGACCCGTGAGCATCGTCCTTCTCCCCCGGAGATCGCGATCGTGACTAAAAATAAAATTCAGTAAAATAATAACAACAACAATAATAATAAAATAAACTTCATAGTGTATCGAAATAATTGGCATCAAAATCCGCATCATGTCATCACGATGACGTCATTGCGATGAATATTCAAATTTCAGTTGGTTATGTTTAAAAAAATTGTGCAAACAGGACGATAAGACGAGAACATTACTATCAGAGGATAATCAAGATGATCAATTTCGTATGCAAACATGTTTTAAAATTTATATGATAGGGATCTTCTAACTATTGAGAAAATGACAATACAGTTTCTTATATGTTGTTAAGCTGAACTTGTCCATAAGCAGAGCATTTGCTTAATTTTATCCACTGCATCATTTACCTACCCGAATAAACATGGATTTATATATAGCTTACATAGCCTAAAATATTATTAAAGACAGTACCTTTTTGCCTTTACTATCCGTCCTGCTTTTCCTTTCGGCCCCTGCACTCAAGTCTTCTTTACTTTTCTTGCTTGTACCTTCATTATCGTCTGGTATCAAAATTGGCGTCAGCTGATCCTGGGTCACGTGTTCAACGTCTTGACCTACATTTATTTCATGGTCGTCTGCTTCTTTATTTTCACTTGACTTTTGCGCGCTTGAATTTGAACTTTCACAATTTTCAACTTTCTCATTTTCTTTAACTGCTTGTAGTCTATGAACTTTGTCGTGCTCGCGAGCACTTTGTGAGCGTTTTATTTTCGGTTTCAAACGCTTTTTCATAGCGTTGAATAAGTCTCTGAAACCTGAGTGTTTTGACGTGTTTTCGGCACTTCGAGAGCGTTTTGAATTTGCCACAGAATCATGAGAAGTTTCAACAGTAATGGCGCCATCGTCCATGGACACTGAATTTCGCAATCGTCCATTACCACTGATTTCGTCCCCACTTTCGGATATGAACAATTCGGTTGATCCCGTTAAGCTTCTACTATTTCTATTTGGGTTTAATTCCCGCTTTCTTCTCTCCGGCCATGACATGAAACATTCCGATGTACTAGGTTGTTGGGATTCAAAGAACCTTTTCCTTGCGGTGTTAGGAGAAAGTCTGTCTAAACTCCCGGATTGAAGTCCTCCATTTCCGTACAAACCGTAACCATTTTGTGACGGAATGAAACTATAAGTGCCAACTGGGGATGAATCAGACGAGGAACTTCTTGAACTTGCACCGGTTACCGGCGCAGACAGTCTGTGAGAATGGGAGGACTCTAAACTCATGCTTTTCAACACAGGCTTGGTGGTGTGTTTTGATTTCGACAACGACGTTGGGGCAGGGCTTGTGCTTCGTGAACGCGGAATGATAAAGCTAGGAGGCGGTTTAGGAAGGGAAGTTACTTTTGTTTCAACGCGAGTTACGTCCCTTGTTGTTTTGATTCGGTGTACTTCTATTCTTGAATCTTTATCATCATTGTAAAATGAAGATTGTTCCATGAGCACATTTTCAATAAAGTCTGGTTTACCGTATTCAGATTTCATTGTACCGTCATGCGTTTGCTGACGATGAACCACCGGAAGTTCCTGGCTGATGTCCTGTGATTTCACTTCCGGTATAGTCTCGTGGTGACTGATAATTCGTGGACCAGAATCCTGTGGTCCGAGCAAGAATTCGTCCTTCAAAAGTTCTATTTCAGAGCTTGACAAGCTTCTAGAAAAATGAAAACAAAGACAATACAATTATAAAAAAGGAATAATAATGCAAGAATTTGTTACTACTTACTTTAACACAAATTCAAAAAAAATGCCCGCCGTCACCAAATATTATGAAGTCTTCCTTTGACCATAGCTACTACAATTTTACAAATTACAAAAAGGCTTCTTTTTAAATTAATCTTCTACTAAAACTTTAGAAAACAGAAATCTCCTTTAACGGAAATTAATGCTTTAAATTGTGTTCTGATTTTCTTCATTCTTTTAGTTTGTTTCTGCAATGTCCCAGCTCTAAACTACATCAATTGACACGTGCAATGGTTATACAATTCAATAAATGCTCATCACTTACTGAAAATTTTGAATTTCACTAAGTAAGCACTAGATTAAAAAAAAAATTTATTATCCAATGTCTTAATTATAGAAATTTACTTGTGTCAATAGAGAGAAAATATTACCTTCTCAGTTTTTGTTTATCTTCCCGTGATAGATCAGTAGAAGGTCTTGCAAGCTCTTCAGCAAGGAAATGAATTTGTCGGAGGGACTAAAATTAATAGCATATAAAAGATGAACATGTGAACGCAAAAATCTTTAAAATAATACTAGAGGAATATTTTGCCATTAAATACGTGCATACGTTATTTGTTCAAAATTTATTATCATTTAGACATTTCTATATCTTTAGCAATTGTAAAGCCGTTGTGCGTATATCTGTATCATCAATTTAAACGCCAAGGACAAACTGATTAGAATTGAAAGCTTTAACAGACTACTTTAAGATGTACAATTCCAAGTGGATTTTTACATTAAACTTTAATATATACATTTCTACAGAATGTTAGAATAATCATATGCTATGACCAGATAAACTCAACTATGTCGTACTAATAATGCGCATGCGCAACAATAATCACAGAACATTAGAAAATGTAAAAGTGATTTGGGATTGAAGTTACATTTACTTACCTCCTTTACATATTTGAGAATGACCTGGAAAAAGATATATCATTATTACTCAATAAATAAATAACAAAAAAAATAATAATCAAAACATACAAGGTCGCTTAACATGGCAAAACCGAAAATGTTGCAGATTCAGTTTGACTGAGCCTATTGATATGCTTGATAGTGGAAAATCTAAGCCACTGTCCACTCCCGGTTGAATTGTACGTGATAACGGGGACCCAACATGAAAATGGTGTTCACTTAGAAATCATATTAATATACATACGGTGATAACCACGAGTCCGTCAATGTGACGCGTTAACGTGTCATTCCATGAAAAGCGAAGTGTCTGAGTAAATCAAATCATATGAGAGATATGGTTGGAATATTTTAGTTTCATTATGGAAATGAACAGGCATTTTCCTTGTTGGGAATTTAATTCATTGTGTTTTAATTTCTATCATTCTTATTGAAATTCCAGTTTGATATTTAACATAAAATCTATCAGCTTATATCGTTTTATTGTTTTTGTGTTGTACAGATGCACCGAACATTAAATTAAAGAGAAATCACAAAATCAAAAATAAATACAGACTAACCTGATCTATATTTTGTTTTAGATCCGCCATTTCCCCCTCATTCTCGCCTGCATGTATGGATGCAGACGCAGCTGATGCATCACCAGAAGTACCACTGACGTCATTTCCGTTACTCGGTAACATGGCTGAGTTATCAGATTCAATAACAATGGCAGCAAGCTCACGAAGACGTTTAAGCTGAAAAAAAGGAATTACAAAGATTAAAATAAAATTTTGGAGAAAATTTATTTGTAACAAAAATATGCTTCGCTCATACCTCTCTATTTGTGACACACGCGTTTGCTCATGAGTAAAAACACTTACTTGCAATGAAATAGAATTTTGCAGAAATAAACTATATATATTTAGAACTATTACATCCATTTATTGTAATTAAAAGACAAAAAAAAAAAAAAAAAAAAAAAAAAAAAAAAAAAAAACTTAAAAAAAAAAAAAAAAAAAAAATTATTACACCCCCCCCCTAAATGATCAAAGAAGAATATCGGTTTATGAGAAGATGTCGTTTAAATTTAAAGTTTACGGACGACGGACGAAATGCGATCAGGTCACTTTGTGACAGGTGAGCTAAAGAAATAACTTAACAAACAGAATAAATGACCAAAGAAGAACGTTTATTATATACTTATAAATGAAATATTGAGAAATATTAATTAAATAAAATGCGTATTTTCATTTTCCGTATTTTCACTGTAAAAATTTATTTTTCCCTGCAGTGAAACATATTTTCCGTATTTTCAATGGTGTCTTGCCGGACTACTTTCTATTAAATTCTGCCAATACGCAAAATTTAGGGGAAATTCTTTAAAATTTTAATGTCAAAAAAGAGAAATGTATATAATAAACAGAAAATTCAAGTTTTTTCTATAAATACATGATTTATTTTCATCTTGTGATATGAAAATTATCATATTTCACTCGTGGCTAACGCCACTCATGAAATATTTACTTTCATACCACTCGATGAAAATAAATCATGTATTTATAGAAAAACCTTGTATATCCTCTATATATATTTGTTTTTTGATTTACCGCAGCAAGGACGTCATCTATACGATGAACGTCACGTAAATGAAGCTTCCTCATCTCCGCCAATCGTCGCAGGAGGTCTCCTTTCTCCTTCATCCAAAAATCTTGTTCCTTTTTGTGTTTCTCTTTCAATTCTTCTACTTGCTTCTCTGCGTGTTTTAACTTAGTTTCCCCAGTGTTTACCTATGAAAAAATCATTACGTAATATACATTGTATATGGAACAAAGATTACAAGGTGAGTGATTTTCACCCTTAAACTTTGTGGAAGCATTTAAAGTATGAACTTGTTCAATAACAATAAGTTTTGTTTGCACAACCTGTCCTATATTTGATATATTTGATAATTTTTAAGTGCAGTTTGTAATGTGTAAATTACTTTCTTTGTTCAGTTGACAATATTCTACATTTTAATACAATTTTAAATATTTTCATGAAAAGTAGCATAAATCTGGAGGAATGCTGCTTTAAAAGTATTATACCTTGTCAACATATTCACCATAGCATTATAGCATTTTATCAGACAATTTATTCATGTTACTTTGAAGGCACGTTGTGCCTCAGAAACAAATTAATATATATTTTTTAGAAAGGGCAAACACGAATTTCATAATGTTTTAATAATGGTTTTAGAGAATGTAATTCATTAAAACCGTACTGATTGCCAAAAACCCAAAACAAAAGAAAAAGATGGTTCATATAACTGGCCAATGAATAACTTTTGGATACCATAAAAGTGCACCAAATCAAAAACTTTTAAGAAATAAAATATAAAAGCATAATTGTATAATAGACCTTTAAAATGGCTAATTTTCATACCTCTAGGGTCCTTTCATTTAAAAAAAATAACGATAAATTTCCGAGGCATAATGAGCCTTTAAAAATGGCTTATTTTCAAATTTTGATATATTACCTCTAGGGTCATTTTATCGGAGTTGATCTTTTGATTTTCATAATCCTTTCTTTGTTTCTCCAACTGTTCAAGAAGATTCTTCTTCTCTCTGGCGTTTTCTTCGTCACGCCGTGAAAGTTGTTCCTAAAATAGAAATAAAACGTGCCAAAGTAATGAAAGATGATTTGCAACAATGTCTTTGTTGGAACATCCTGTTTTTAGAATTTTATTATTTCTTTTTTTTTTAATGACAATTATGAAATACAACGGCTATGAATGTACAATTAAGCAATTCTTTTCATTTATTGCTGACAGTATCCAAAACGTTATTCATTAGCCAGGTTTTAGCAGTAAAATATTTCGCAATGCTACTTCTTTTTAATGAAAGGTCAGTTGCTACGAATTAAACAGTATCACAAACAGAACCATGTGTCACAAACAAAACCAAGTCCGCCTGAGATCGGTTTGACTTCTTGTAAAATTTGCAAGGAAGAACTGAATACTAGAAGGATTTTCATTGGTCATTTTAAAATTGCAAATTGAAATCCGGGAATCTTGCATTCTAAAATTAGTATAATAATTTAAAAGATTTTTCTGAAATGTGTACAAGTCAAAATTATAAAATAATCGGAAACACACTAGTTAAATGTCTAGGATATTTGAGATATGTGAACTTCCTCCAAGTAAATATTCTACAATGCTTTAAAATTTCATCAATTCTCTAGTGGATATCTTATTCAACATAACAATTTACCGAGACATAAATAATGGCAACCAGTAACGCCAACGATCCCGAAAAGAAAACATGCGCATAACAAAAGACAGCATGCAAGTAAAAGCAGTTTTACTTCGTCCCAGTATCTTTTTAATCTTTAAACAGATCAACTGGTGACAATGTATCATTCCAGTGTAGCGTTTTTATTTCTATTTTTAGTATATTCAGACAGCCGATTTGCATAAAACTGTAAGAACCGAAAATTCCAATTAATTATATTCTCGTGTTTGAGGCATTCGCAATTTTTCGGCCCTTTCCGTCAGTCTCCGAATAAGTTATTATAGATAATAGCCGAGGTATTCCGATTGGTGTCTGAGATACGATAATTACCTGAAGGTCCATGGCCAATGCGTGCGCCTCATTCAAAAGGCGTTTCTGTTCTTTGCGTTCCTTCTCCCATGCAACTTCCATGTTATATTGGACATCTTTACTCTTCGACTGGGCTTGAATAAACACAGCTAGCTGCTCTTCCAGCTATGTGAAACAAAAAAGACAAATGTCCAAAAATATCATACGTTGTGTAATACATATTGTATAACTGGAGAATGGGAATAGATATTTGGTTTTGATTTTAGTGACATATGCTCATTTTTTCATTGTCAACTTCAGCTAAATTGACTACATATTTCAAAAGATTGACTCTTATAAAGTTGATTGGCCGACAGTTGTATTAAAAATGATTAGGATTAAATATAAATAGACCTATAATATGTGACCGTCTAAAGTATAAAAAAGACTGCCCACACGTTTTATTATTTTAATGTTATAGATACATTCTAAAGGATATTTACCGAAATTTCCACTTCTACATCACAGTTTATAATTATTTAAATTAATGAGACTTAAGAAAACTTTATCTTTTTTAAAATATTTTTTTAATGCTGTTTTGACAGGTTATGCTAAATTTACAAACCAATACCTGGTTTTGTTTGCTGATATGCTGTGCATTTTCTATGTCCCAGTTTCTACGTTCTGACGTCATTTTGTTAACTAGGTCAGATCGCTCCACCTCCTGCTCTGTCAGCTGACGTTTGAGAGCCTCGATCTGGGCGCGAAGATGTTGAGCGATTTCCTTTCCTTCCTCGATCTGTCAAAAACAAAATAATAAATAAATTATATAAGTAAACAAGATTACCGCATGCAGTGTTATAACACATGCTTATATACACGAAGACACCATACATTTTAGGAGAAATAACGACACGAAATCTTCTTTTGTAGAATTATCGTGTCGGCGGGTAGAGAATCTCAAAAATCGAAGGCGAAGACACGATAACTGAGCATATTATCGTGTGTCTTCGACTTCGACTTTTGAGGGGCCGCAGTTATCGTATCTTCTCCTTCGACTTTTGAGGTGCGAAGACACGAAATGGCAGAAATCAGCAACCGTACGTAAAAGATAAGAATCTTAGATGTGTGCATAAATATGTGATTGCAATATTTCAACAACAATAACAGATTAATGATAACTTTATGATGCAGTCACTATAAAATATTTGCAGAATTTTCATTAATTTCTTAGACACGAAATGGCAGAAATCAGCCACCATACGTAAAATATAAGATTCCTAGATTTTTCATCTTATCACATGTCTGATATATTTCAATAACAACAATAACAGATTAATGATAATTTTATGATGCAGTCAATACAAAATATTTGCAGAATTTTCATTTTTATAGCTTGTATTTAATAAAACACTCTTTAAATAGAATAATTAGGCTAGAATCCAAGAAAATAAATAAGAAAGCAGTTGTTTGTGAATGAGTTCTTTAGTAATTCTTGTAAAACACGGTACAAATAAATGAGCCGCGTCATGACAAAACCAACGTAATGGGTTTGCGACCAGCATGGATCCAGACCAGCATGCGCATCCGCGCAGTCTGATCAGGATCCATGCTGTTCGCTTACCAACTCTATAACAAGTAGAGAAACTGATAGCGAACAGCATGGATCCTGATCAGACTGCGCGGATGCGGATGGTTTTGTCATGACGCAGCTCAAATTATACACTTAAATAGTATGTAAATGAGCAGTTTCAGTAACATCAACTGAATATTTTTTTTTTGCTTCTTTTGGTAGTTTGCGAATTGGGATAATCTTTGTTAATGAGTATTTTGTATGTAAATCAATTTACTTCTTTTATATTTTGCTACATTACGACACAAAACTGCACCTGTAAGGCTACTTCCTCCAAGTGTTTTATATCTAAAATGCTTCATGACTAAAACATTATTAAACACACTTTTGACATTTCAAACAAATTTTAAAAAATATGAATTTCTTAGAACTTTTTAGCATAATGGGCCTTCAAGTATACAGTAGTTTGTTGAGTCAACATGGACCAGGAACCAACCTGTGTTATATGTTACACAGTATTTAGTTAGGTCAACATGGACCAGGAACCAACCTGTGTTATATGTTATACAGTATTCAGTTAGGTCAACATGGAGCAGGAACCAACCTGTGTTATATATTATACAGTATTCAGTTAGGTCAACATGGACCAGGAACCAACCTGTGTTATATGTTATACAGTATTCAGTTAGGTCAACATGGTCCAGGAACCAACCTGTGTTATATGTTATACAGTATTCAGTTAGGTCAACATGGACCAGAAACCAACCTGAGTTATATGTTATACAGTATTCAGTTAGGTTAATATGGTCCAGAAACCAACCTGAGTTATATATTATACAGTATTCAGTTAGGTCAACATGGACCAGGAACCAACCTGTGTTATATGTTATACAGTATTCAGTTAGGTCAACATGGTCCAGGAACCAACCTGTGTTATATGTTATACAGTATTCAGTTAGGTCAACATGGACCAGGAACCAACCTGTGTTATATGTTATACAGTATTCAGTTAGGTCAACATGGTCCAGGAACCAACCTGTGTTATATGTTATACAGTATTCAGTTAGGTCAACATGGACCAGGAAACCAACCTGTGTTATATGTTATACAGTATTCAGTTAGGTCAACATGGACCAGGAACCAACCTGAGTTATATGTTATACAGTATTCAGTTAGGTCAACATGGACCAGGAACCAACCTGTGTTATATGTTATACAGTATTCAGTTAGGTCAACATGGACCAGGAACCAACCTGTGTTATATGTTATACAGTATTCAGTTAGGTCAATATGGTCCTGAAACCAACCTGTGTTATATGTTATACAGTATTCAGTTAGGTTAACATGGTCCAGAAACCAACCTGTGTTATATGTTATACAGTATTCAGTTAGGTCAACATGGACCAGCAACCAACCTGTGTTATATGTTATACAGTATTCAGTTAGGTTAACATGGACCAGCAACCAACCTGTGTTATATGTTATACAGTATTTTGTTAGGTCAACATGGAACAGGAACCAACCTGTGTTATATGTTATACAGTATTCAGTTAGGTCAACATGGACCAGGAACCAACCTGTGTTATATGTTATACAGTATTCAGTTAGGTCAACATGGACCAGGAACCAACCTGTGTTATTATGTTATACAGTATTCAGTTAGGTCAACATGGACCAGGAACAACCTGTGTTATATGTTATACAGTATTCAGTTAGGTCAACATGGACCAGGAACCAACCTGTGTTATATGTTATACAGTATTCAGTTAGGTCAACATGGACCAGGAACCAACCTGTGTTATATGTTATACAGTATTCAGTTAGGTCAACATGGACCAGGAACCAACCTGTGTTATATGTTATACAGTATTCAGTTAGGTCAACATGGACCAGGAACCAACCTGTGTTATATGTTATACAGTATTCAGTTAGGTCAACATGGACCAGGAACCAACCTGTGTTATATGTTATACAGTATTCAGTTAGGTCAACATGGACCAGAAACCAACCTGTGTTATATGTTATACAGTATTCAGTTAGGTCAACATGGACCAGGAACCAACCTGTGTTATATGTTATACAGTATTCAGTTAGGTCAACATGGTCCAGAAACCAACCTGTGTTATATGTTATACAGTATTCAGTTAGGTCAACATGGACCAGGAACCAACCTGTGTTATATGTTATACAGTATTCAGTTAGGTCAACATGGACCAGGAACCAACCTGTGTTATATGTTATACAGTATTCAGTTAGGTCAACATGGACCAGGAACCAACCTGTGTTATATGACTCTCAAGCACCGTTCGTTCATCTTTCCACCGTGATAAATCATGAGAATAATTCTCTCGAATATTTGCCATGCCTTTCTGAATGCCCACAATAATTTCTTGGTCCAAGTTTTTGGCCCTTTGGAGCCTCTCCACAACCTGAGCAGCTGTAAGTGCTCCTTCTGTAGCCGGTCTAGCTGGGTCTCGTACCTGACCTTCATGGCCATGTACTCCGCACGGAGAATCTTCTCATGATGGTGAAGTTGGTAATTTATATCATCCTTTATTAAATTAAAAACAAAAACAACATTGTTATATTTCTATTGGTTGTGTCTAGTCACGTGGAGTTTATTTACAAATTCATAGTTATGAGTATATTTAAAGATGCTTGTGAGTAGAAAGCACTTTATTTTTAAGTTTTTTCTACGCCAACCGATCAAGCAGTAACACCTTATACGAACAAATTTATGGCAAAATAACATCATATTTAATCTTTTAAGAGTAGCTCAATTTACATTCCTACATCCATGAGTACAAAAACCTTTTTAAGGTGATGTTACGACTTGGTATACACATTTCTGGAAAAAATTGAAAATAACATCGTATATAAACAAGTCCTAGTGCATAAGTACGAAAGACATTTTTACTTTTTAATTCCCGGGTTCATCTTCATGAATTCACAATTTCAAATTCACAGATTTAAGATTTCAACATACAGAATTTACAAATTCACGATTTCAACTTCATGAATACAAAAATTCAACTTCATGAACTTCAAAACTTCAACTTCGTGAATTCACGATTTCAACTTTGTGAAAATGAAATCTTGAATTCGTGAAGTTGAAATCATGAAAGCAGGTTAAATACCCGGTAAAAAAAAATTCTGAAAAGAAAGGTAGAGCATTTGTATGACTTCTGCATTGTAAAGGGAAATAATGAAGCCTAATTAGATAGAACATATTTTACTCACCTGCCCTCTCAGTTTGGCTAGTTCATCTGACATTTTATCATTATTATTCATCTCATGTGTTAACATCCTTATCTTAGAAGTTAACTCATCTGTTAGCTTATATTTCTCCGTTTTCAAAATCCGCACTGTATTTTCGTGTTCCATTTTATTCAATCGCAGTTCATGAGCAAGTTTTTCTCGAGTCTCTAATATCGCATGGACTTCCTTTCTCAGAATCTGAAGCGCTTGGGACTCTTTCTTTTCGGACGTTTCTAGCATTAGACTCATTTTCTCCCTTGCAATGTTCAGTTCTTTCCCTAAAGACGATCTATCTCTTTCCCACATAAGCATGGCTTCACTTAAAGCATGTTTAGCTTTATCTAACTCATTCTGTAACGTCACTTTATCAGTATGAAGCTCCGTAATATTGCCCATTAAATTTTCTATATCCGACTGTAGTCGTTCATTTTCAGTCTCCAGTTCGGACTTCTCTCCCTTTAATGTTTCATCAATTTTATTTTGCAGTTCGGCAATTCTTGTTTCACTTTGCTTCCTTTTCAGTACAGCTTCATGTACCTCTTCTTCCAAGTAATGTAACTCTTCACTTTTTTCTTCAATGTTTGAACTGAGTTGTCTCAATAGTTCATCTTTCTCCTTCAGCTGTTCTTCGCGGAAGCGCGTGGATTCCGTGAGGTCTTTGATGACCTTTTCTCTCTGAGATATTTGATCAAATAATGATTGCAAGTCCTCCTCTCGTTGACGAATGATCTCTTCCTGTTCAGTTATTATTTCATCTTTTCTTGTTATCTGAGCTGTAAATGAAAATCTTACAATCAATACATTTGAAATATGGAACATCTAGTTCTCTGTAAGGGTTCAAAAATATTTATCATTAATTTGTGACAGACGTTAACATTGAACGGAGCTGATGCATAAGAAGCAAAAAAGTTATAAAGTCAGTTGAATTGTTACTAATTGAGAGCAACTTCAAAACCAATTTTAGGGGGGAAATTAATGAAAAACATCATTGATATAGTAAACCAACACATACTGTTTCAGTTTTTTTCTATCAATTCTTATGCTATTGACAAAATATATAGTTTATAGGTCATTGCAAGGTCCAAACAACACAACCCACCTACTATCATGAATGAGTGTATGTAAGTAATTATCTCTTAAACATTAATTTCCCAAGAAGGGGCATTTGAAATTTATCAATAATGATGACGTCGTCTGTGTTTTCAGATTGAAATTCTTTTATACTATTTTTATCTAGTTATTTAAACGGCTAAGATAAAAGTTGTAATTAGCGAATGTTTAACCAAGCAAAGAAGTCTGAAATATGTTTTCGCGATTGTTTTTTTGACCTTCCGTAAATGTTTGATTTTACAATATGTAGATCAAGGTCGGACCTGATTTATCCTTCAGAGCGTTATCTCTTTCCTTCATGAAGATGTCCTTCATCCGGTCCTCTTCTCGAAGTTTGTTTATTTGTTCATCTAAACGCTTACAATCCTGTGTTCGCTGAGCTAATTTCTGTTCCAGGGACTGTTTCTCCCGTTCCGATGCCGCACTCTTGGATATCCAAATCTCGTTGACCTTGAAAACATGAAAAGAAGAAAGTGAGATATGTAGGAATAAATCAAAAACAGCATAAGTGATAGTTCAACCTTAACAGAGGCACCAGTGGCGGCATGGCCGAGTGGTTAACGCGTCGGACTAGTAATCTAACGAGCGCTAGCTGCATGGGTTCAAACCCCGTCAGGGGAAAGTCGTTGTTTCCTTGAACAAGAAACTTTTCACTTATTGCTCAGTACCGGTTGGTTCCAGGAGCGCATTCGAAAGTGCGTCTATAAGCTTTTATCTTGCTACACACTCGAACTAAAACAAATGCTATATAAATCAACAGAGCCCCATATACACTCTCTGAAGGACTAACACTGCTCAGAGGTGTTGCTCTAAGCAGATTACCGTTATCATAAAGTCTTACTTTCTTGTAAATCAGTTATTGGCCTACATTGTAATGTATGCAGTAATAGAATGAAACGTTGATTTCACCAAGACAAAGACTATAATTCGATTTTATACAAGGCCTTTAGAAAAAAAACTTACGTTAGATGCAATATCTAAAACAAAAATTTATAATAAAACAATATCAAATTGATTATTTTTTCATTTCATGTAGAATTTGTATTTGTTTATGTCTTCTAAGTTTCATAAAAGTCCATCTGCCCTTTCAGGCACTTAGAGTACGGACGCCGTACTTGTATTTGTTCCAGGTAAAAATATATAATATACTTAGCGGAAGCCACCATTTTCTGTTTAGTTGCTTATAAATAGGTAATAATTATTGTTTCACAGACATTTGCTATTGTTTCACAAACATTAACTTCGTTTACAATTATTCTTATTAGTCAAATCTCTAGTCACGATCAAGTGGGTATTTAAATTACTCCCAATCTCATTCGAACAGTGAACTCAGACCAACTGGCGTTTTATGAATAACAAAAGCACGTGTTTCACTTTACGAACACGGTTTCACCGCAGTTAATGTTATAAAAGCCAAACTCTTAATTGAAGCTCAGCTCTCTATATTAAACCTATTAGATAACTCTGTAGGGGTACGTCTGCATCCGTAAGAAGTAGACATAATAATAATGCCTATCATACGTAATTAAATCCTGGTTCAAAAAAGGCGACGTGACCTTTGAGAATTAATCAAAGAAGAAACATGATTTTATATGCTAGAAAAATCAAATGACGTACAGTCCCTACAGCATACACAGGAATATTAAGTGTTTTTGTTCTTGTTGTTTTTTTTCCAAGGCAATGTGTTTACACCAGTATTTCATGCCAAAATTCAGTTATTTTACAAAATGATAAACTTATATATTCCCAAATAATTTTACGACAAATACTAGTAGATCATTATGTATGTAACAATTTGACAAGTTTTCTTAGTATACAAAGTTTCAAAACCAATTGCCGGAAGTGACGTCATTAATTTTTTTTATCGTACATACATGTGTACTCGTACATAGAATCTTTAGATATTTCGTAAAAGTGTCCTTAATGCCACGAGGTCAAGTATACATTGCCCGTAATGCCAAAAGACGTATGTTTTTGTTATATTTGTGTTCATATGTATGGTATTCCAAGGGTCCCAGGTTCGAGTCTCGGTCAGGCTGCATGCATATGTTTATCACCCGGTAACATAAAAATACGTACATCTTCTATTTTGACCTCTAACTCCTCAGCCTTGGATTTAAATTTAATAAGTTCCTCACAAAGTTGGTCCTTCACAGACTGGAGTTCTGAACACGTGCGGCAAAATGAACCCTGAAATTATTTAAATGAAACAGTTTATTAACTGTGTATGTTTTTAACAAGAAACATATAGTGATTTAAAGTGATGTGACAAAAAAAATATGATCAAACTGGCTTTCAGGCAGTGTTGGTCCCAAAGTGTACGTTGCCAAGATAAAATTACTGAAATACTAAGTTTGAATCAACAAAAAATGTTTTTTCCAACAAAAAAATAAAAGTTGAATGCCGCTTAAACAGGTAGGTCATAACGAGGTTTTGAAAAATATCAAAATTTATCACATTTCACTTTTTGTACGGTAGTGAACAACTTCCAAACAAAAATCGGTTATCTTAACTTATTCAACATATCTTTCATTTAGTAACAAAAGTTGGAACGTGTTACCTTTCACAAAAAACAGATAAATCTTTATCAATCAAGAAAAAACGGAAAGCCATTATCATTATTATCTCATTGAATTTCCCGAACTTATGATACAAGACTGTTGTAGACTGTTTTACTATTTGTATATCATAGTCGGTCGTAAAACACCATTAGAGTAAGTGCGTTATTTTCATTTTATTATAGTTTATTAGTAGATTTAGATTTTTAGATGAGCGGTTGCTGTGGAACACACATTTCGCATGTCAAACATTTCATATTTCGTCTAAAAAACACTCCGATATCTTAAAGCAGAATGGCTCCAGATTCATTTTCATTTTCTCGTCAGGTACACACTGAACACTTTCAGATCAATCAGGTTAGGGGTGAAGTTGATTTCCTACTTAGATATACGATAGTCTAATTTATACGATTGAAAGAAGCTGACCCGCAACGATTTGTGAATATTGCACGGTTATTTATCAACCAATACTTCAATTCAAAGTTACATTTTACATTTTCAAAATTTCTTGGTGTTTCTTATCAAATAAATACAATGCTAGTCGGACTTTTGAAAATACTCTAAAAACTATTAACATCTAGAATACAATGTATTAATGTACTTTCAACTTTTCTTAGAGCCTAAAAATAAATTATTTTCGATACTTTTTGGCAAACAGACCGTTAAAAGTTAGTAAAATCCTGAAATATGGATGCTATGTTATCAATCACCGACTCCACCGGAAATAGAAAAAAAGTTCTTCGCCAAGAAGGAAAAAAAATCATTCATGAATTTGATTATTGGTGGATTAAATAACTTATATGATTGGAACGATAAAGTAAACACCAAGGTTATTTGAGTGATTGAAGATTCTGATACAGCCTCGTTTTGATAAACACGTCAGATAACATCCGGAAGTTGGAACGGACAAAAATATTCTAAAAATAGAACTGGCTAAATATAGAATAAAGAAAACAGCCAAAGCTTGATTGAAGGCTTATTATAGCTTGCGCCAGAGGGAAAGATGCTTCAAGAGGTAGGCCAATAAGTCAATATCATCATTATCTATGATAGATTGTTCATATAATTTACGTATATTGAGAAGAAAAATATAAAGCTTTGTTAATGAGTAAAACATATGGTCAACAATATCAACACGGTAAGGCGGCGTTCAATGAACGAGACAACCAGCTTAATTTTTTCTTGTAACGTAAGCGTGTGGGATGGGTTTTTTACATGAACATCATCATCAAGACCATTTTCAATTGAATGAACTGAAAACTGGAAGTTTCTGATCATAATTTCAAAATGTGCTATCAATGACGACTAAAGGGTAATTTGTTTCTCTAGGAAAATGTTGTCACATTGTATTTGTTTTTTTTTTCTTTTAAATTTGTTTATATGGATATCAATATTACTTGTCTTTAAAAAATCTATCGAATTGATTTAAATGTAATAAGATTAATATTTTAAACATTCATCTGTCAACAAAGAAGATTTTATATATCTCCTAAATTTTTTTGCTAAAAATTGTCAACGACATAAGCGGAAACTATCCCATAAAACTATATTTTTACAACGACATAAGCGGAAGTTATCATAAAAGCTTTTAACAACGCCATCATACGAAAGCGGAAATTTGTTTGCGTTAAGTAAATACAATACCTGTTTGCCATCAGATGAGCTGTCTTCGGACGAAGACGAGTCTTGGGGTTTCCGGGAAAGTTTCGGAGACCTCCATTTCTCTGTTTCTACTTTCTTCAGCTTCTCCGTCAGGCTTCGGATCTGATCGTTTGCTATAACGGCATGTTTCTGACTTTCTTGAAGCTGAAATTCATATTTTATGTAACTTAGGATTCATATTTACTACATTTAACTTCGCCTCAAGCAGGGAACTTACATCTAGTTTTACTGTTAAATTATTAGCATAGATTATTTCATACGGCCTCTGTGATCGACATTTTTTATTTTGGAAAAAACGTGTTCAATGCTGTAAAAAGTCACATACAAGTACTAAAAGAATATATCGAGGGACATTATTAAGACATTAAGTGCATGGAGGTGTCCGTACATAAATTTCCTTCACAAGATTTCTTATTTCATCTGTAAAATGAGAATCACAAGTCTTTGAGTTGAAGGTGAACCCCAAATATATTTACAGATTAATGACGTTTTTCATGTGTAAATTCACGGTCTTTCTTTCATGAAAGGAGATCCGACCTTTTTATTTCTTCTTGCACAAACTTAAATGGTGATTTTATATAAATGGTGATTTTATATTAAACTCTTTTTACAACATGAATATATCATATGACAAACGCATTATTATTTCTAAGGTCATACTGGATGTTGAAGTTCTGTATCAAAATTGCACCATTAATACATGACATGTATATAATCTGGAATTGCTTTGACACCCTTAAAACAGACGACATAAATATATAGAAATGCATGTTCAATAACAATGTGAGACTATTTAACTAAGTTATTCAAACCTCTGACTGAAGCAGTTCCTTCTCGCGCATGTGTAACTTGGCGTCATCGGACATGGCGGACGAGATTACGTCACTTCCTGTGAATTCCAGTTTCTTTTCTAAGGAAGAGGACTTTTTACGCTCTTCAGCTAGGAGGGTTTCTAATGATCGAATACGTTTCTTAAATTGTTCCTGAATTGAAAGAAAAAAAACATAAAATTTAAAGCAAAGTTTCTTTACAAATATTTTGCAAATGTGTTATGTTGCGATTTTACTTTAATCAAGAGGAAAGCAATTTAAATCTCAGGGCTGTGTTTCAAAGAAAGTCTGAAATCAGTATTAAGACCAAAACTGTGACAATTTTGCGTTTCAAAGAAAATTTCCTGGCGTTATGACTCTTAATTTCTGAATAGCAATGCTGATGGGCATTTTAACATTGAGAATATAAGGTTCTGTGATTGTAATTCTTAACTTTTCTTAGGAAAATGCTTTCATTTATAGTCTACAGTATTTGACTGAACATAAAAATGTTTATTGAAACGGTCTTTAGTTAGTCTAACAGTTTGTTTTATGTCCTAAGACTTAGGATACATTTAAGACTTTCTATGAAACGCAGTCCAGGTTGTGTATATTGAGAATGACAATAATTTATATTTGTTTAAAAAAAATAAGTTGCAATAATAATAGACCTACCTCCCAAAATGCTGCAATTTGCGTTTTCTCGGCAGGAGATCCATCGAAAACATCGTCACTTCCGGTGGAGACTGGGCTTGGAGCAGAGCTTTCGGCACTTTTCTCTGACGAAACAGACGAACCGTCTTGATTATCGTTAATTTCCGTAATCAGTCGTTCAAGTTCGTCTTCAGCCGCTTCCGCACGATCTTTGACGATTTCCAAAAGATTGTTTAGGATCTGAAGAAAAAATAAATATGATCCAAATTTATTGATTTGTAAAATTAAACTTTATGTATAATTGTCATTGAGTTCTGGTGTTCTCTGTCGTCACGTATTAAATATTTAGCCGCCAATGAGAATGCGTACCCTCTGTGAACACGTCAAAAGATGATATATTTTACTTGGACCGTGTCCACTGTACTGAAATATTATATGTGCAACACATATCGTCAGTTTCTACCTTTAAACCAACCAAAATGTTTCACGAATGCTTCCGTAATTTTGTCCAGTAAATCCTATGACATCACAAAAATCGTCACACCAAATATGCTGTTTATAAAAAAGCGCAATGTACGGACAATGTCTGATACCTTGCGTCACTAAAATTCCATTCTATGCATTACTGGACGTTTATTCGTCAATAAATCAATACAATATTCTCATTTTGATATTTTGTTACATCTCTAAATTTATGATTTACTGCGTTTTCACTAAGGCACAGGCGGCATAACAAGAAGACCAAAATATAAACATCTTCAGAAATAAGTGTAATCCACTAGTGTTTCCCTATAACAACATCATATTAACCATTTGTAAACCATTCAAGAAATCACATCCCAAGGCGATACCTGTTTTAATAAATTTTAAGGCCTAATTTTCATTACATCTGTAAAATTTCATGAGATTTCTTTAAGAATAATGGTTCCGTGGAAATATTACCTGGTAATTTAATACATCGTAATAACAGGTGAAGGGGGGGATTGAGAATTTAAACAGACGGGTGTAATTATGAAATTATGAAATATTTTATTGTGAATGTATGTTTATTGATTTTGTTCTTTCTTAAAGGCTCATTATGCCCCAGAAATGCTTTTAATTTCATTTCTCAAAAGCTTTCTTATTTTTGTGTCCTGTTAAAGTTTTCAAAATGTTACTCATTGGCTAAATACTCGTACCATCTTTTGCATGTATTGCATTTCGGCAGTTATTAAAAATAACATAGCGATTTGGTATATTAAATGAAAGTCAAAATACTACTTTGTTTACATTTTGCTACTTTTATGACAGAAAATTTCACATCCAGCACCTTTTTCGTCTAAAACATGTTCTAAAACCATTATTCAAACGTTATAAAATTCATGTTTGACTTTTTAAATTCTGAAATTTTATTCATTTTGGAGGCTTGGTGTGCCTTTAAATAAGTTATTTGCAAATAAAACAAAGCGATTATTATGTTGTTTATGCCCTGCAAGCAGCCGTCATTAATATATTTTTTTTTCTTTGCCTTGGGCTCTTTCTGTCTTTGTAAAACATGCAATTGGCACTATGGTATATTTCAATAAATAATTGTTGCAAAAGTAGGCTCCTTTTTATTTTCGATTTAAGGTACTCGTATTTGATAGTTAAAAGTACATAAATGAATTGGTTTAGGATTTGAATGTCCTTATATATTATATATATATATTATAACTATATATATAACTCCAAAAATATAACTTTAAGAATAACGCCCCTTTTTTCATAACTGCATCTTGTTATGAGAAGTAAGCATTCAAAGTTTTATATTGATATCCTTTAAATTCTTTACGACGACGACGACGTCACAGCTATCATTAAAGCTCGACTTTTTCCGACGAGCTGAAAATGTCAAAAACAAGCGGTTTGTCATATTGCGTAAAAAGACATCTCATTATATTTAAATAAAAGAACATGATAATATTCCACTTTAAATGATGAAAATATCTTGAAAAGTCCTACTTCACAAAAAACTAAGCGCCTGATTCGCATTAAACTAAAGTAATATTGTCCAACAGCTTGAACAACAAATTAACCGAATTACAAGCACCCTAAAATAACCTTACAAAACAAATAACAATCGATAAAGAACCTGTTCTGGGGGTTTTCTAATAATGTTCAGATGTTTGCCTCTTTACTTACAAATCAAAATAATCCAGTGCTTATCTAATTAAACGTTTAACTTAATTAGATCATAAACCATTTAGATATGCTATAAGTTTTTCAAGCAATAAATTGGTTCTAAAGAATTTAAAACCTGAACGTTTAAGTTGTTTGTTTTTTGTTTTGTTTTTGTTTTTTGTTTGTTTGTTTTTTTCTTTTTATATAAAAAGTTTAGATTCTTTATGAAGGGCAATTGTGTTTTTGTATAAAACCTTTCGCTGCAATGGTATACCCGACATTAAGATATGAAAATACTCATTATTATATCATATTTTTTTGAGATGACAATCTCAAAAGTCAATTCATATTTACCTCGTCATTTCATTTCCTTTCGTCACATTATGCCTTAAAAAATAAATAGTTTTTCCTATTTAAGAAAAGGTAATTTAAAACAGGAGTATTATATGGTTTAAGAGCATGTTAGATGCTGATTTCCAAATGAATGTGATACTGGATGTGAAATTATTTGTCATAAAGTTCGAAAAATATAAACAAAGTAGTATTTTGGCTTCCGTAGAAAATACTTAATCACTATTACTTTACTAATTTCAGAAAGCAACATAATCAAAATATGGTTAAGGCAAATGGCCAATGAGTTCCTTCTTGGAAACTATAGCAGAACACAAAAAAATAAAAAAAAACTTTTGAGAAATGAATGTATAAAAGCATTTCTGGAGCATTATGGGCTCTTAAAGGTATGGACCTTTCCGGTGTTTACAGTTTTCTGTAAATTGGCTAACTTGTTATCCAATCGCTACACTGAGATAATACATAGTCACTGGTTGACCTGGTTTGCACAAAAGAACTAGTCGCTAAATTTATACAAATGTAATAACTGGATATTTTTCTGGCATAAATAATAAAAAATAAAAAGATAAATATTTCGATACATTCATTTCGAACAAATTAGTTTTACGACACCATATTAATCACTCGAGAGTCCAATTCCAGGAACTACCCAATATTGGTGTCAATTATGGAAAAATTGTGACCCGAGTAGAGCTCAAATCCACGGCCCAAGAATTAAAAGGCGCCCAAATTAAAAACCCATTTTTAATTGCAGCTCCTTTTATCAAAATATTGCAAGAATACTTCAGTAGTTTTGAGCATAACAACATCCACTACATAAATTCATATGTTTCGCATAACAGGTATTTCTACCTTTGTCTCAGTTGTATTATGGTCAATATATATTTCTTTATTTGTTTTGTATCACAAACAATTGCATTGAAAACAGTCGCAATAAAAGTGGATGATTAACAGGTATAACACCTTTAAAACCCAGATATATGTTAAATCTGGCAGCATTTGACAATTGGCCTTCATTCTTGATACAGTACAAACAAAAGTTTCATCCCCAAAGTAAAAGGCAGTCCCTAGAAGAAATTTACTTAACTTAAACCAGTACGTTTAAAAAATACTTTTTGTGTATTTTTATTTCCTGGCAAATGATAAGGAAATCGAGCAAAATGTGGAAGTTATATTTTTTGTCAATGCTTGCAACATTTCCATTTTGTTTTGCTTAGTGTGTTCTTTAGGGATTCCGTTTTGTTCTACTCTTGATGTATAACTTGATAAATTTAAGTCAAATACATCTTATACAGACCAATTGACAGATCAAAATCTTAAATATTGCAATGCAGTTTCGAGATAAAAAAAGAATTAGTATAAAAATGCGTAAATTTTTTTTTTAGAAAAAAATATTTTTAATTCAAACGATACATTAGTGCATATGTACTATTGTATGTCATACATCATGTAAACAGAATGGTATACTTTTATTACAATAACCTATATCTAGAAACATAAACAAAATAAGAGCATTATGTGCCATGGACCTTTAATATTCATATTCTCCCAATTAATTGTTTATTTCCGCTCATTAATAGCAGTTACATCGTCCTGTTTCTTAATTTTATGACTAAGAATGATAAAACAGATGTGAAATACTCATGCAGACATAATCGGTATAAAACTTTACAGTTACATGTCCCATATTTGCTTCAACTCTTTGTACTCTCCGTTTAGGCCAGTCATAATAGAAATTATGGTAAAACTAATTACTTCACAAATGTTTTCACGATTAAATAAAAGATAAACATTATTTACATTTTGAGAAAAAAGTCCTCAAAAAATCTCCTTGCGGAATCCTTAAAAATCGATCATAAAGATTTAGTAAAAATCGATATTTAAATGTGTCTCTTAAATTACACCATACTTTAATTTTATGCACGTTCGGTGACGTCACGTTTATTATATTTTCGTTGAAAGATCTGAAGTTACTTCAAATACAGCATTCCTAGTGCAAAGGTGAGTAATTTTAGTCACTTTTATATTCTTCTGTATAAATTTTAGGGCAAAATATGTCAGTAGATAGATTTAATTGACCACCAATCAATCGATTATGCAGATGACAAAATGTGTCATATAATTTCGCGATTTTAAACACAATTTTGAATGAAGTAATCATTAAAAGTGAGTTTATATTTTACTCACTGTTCTATATTGTTTTCTATTGTACAATTATCTAAAATGACACAGAATTAACCACACATCTTACTGAGTATTTAAAAAAATGTGTATGCACAAGTTATGTAAATTTTTCTTCTCTACGGAAGCGTGTTGTGACCAAAATCACGAAAATCTAGGGATATTTCTAAAATGTTAAATTTGACTTATTTCAAAGAGTTGGCATGTTTTATGAATTGTGGAAATCATAATTAAATCAAATAATATGTTAACTTGATGTAAACAAATGTATTTTGTAATACATAATGCATTTCTAAGCGAAATGATAATATTCCAGCATGTTATATGAAAAATAGACAGCGTATCCAATAGGGTGTAATCAAGCTAAAACTGTTACCTATTAATGAGGAAGTTGTTACTGGAACTTTATACATTACTTTTACTTCTTAACAGAAGACATGGATTTAAAACCAAAATTATTATGCCAATTATTGATTCTTTTGTAGGTTCAATCATGAGAGTATGGGCTTATAGCAAAAGATAATTGAGCGTATTCACTTGAAATATTGTAAAAGAATTTTAAATGTTAGAGCCAATACAAGCAATGTTCGTATATACGGCGAACTCGGCCGTTACCCATTGTATTACTATATAATTCGATACCTAAGAATAATTAAGTTTTGGTGCAAATTGATAAATACTGACAATATAATTTTACGGAAAATATATGAATTAAGTTTATCTGATTGTTATAAAGGTTAAAAAACTGGGTATCAAATGTTAAAGAAATGCTAGATATATATGGTTTAGCCAAATACTTTTTTGAAAATAATATTGTAGATAGTAAATTATTTCCAAAAATATTTAAACAAAGAGTTATATATTGATAATTATATACAAATATGGCATTCATCAGTAGAAAATAATTCTGTTTTAGAACTTTATAAAAATTGTAAAGAATTATATTCATACGAAAACTATCTTTACATATTACCAAAGGATCTAAGATTTTATATCACGAGAATTAGAATGTCTGCACATACACTAAGAGTACACTTAGAGTACAAACGGGTAGATATGGGCAAAATAGAATCCCAAGGAGTGAAAGATATTGTTTATGTTGTAATACTATGGATTTAGAAGACAAATACCATTTTGTTTTGATATGCCCATGCTATGTTGAAAATTATGTGAAACTATATTATTACAAATGTCAATCAATGTGTAAATATTGGACTGATTTCTAGAATTATACTCACTAATCTAGCTAAATATTTGAGAGAATCGATTAAAACCAGGAACATTATTGTTAGTACTAACAACTGAATTTTGATATTTTGTTACAAATTTATACTAAAAATTCAATTGATTTGTTGTATACTCTTCGTAACAAATTGTTTTATAAATGGTAATCCATTATTTTTCATCCTCCAGCTTTACATGAAATTCAATACTATATATTAAATCCTATATTATTTGTTAAATAGAAACGTGACATCTTCACAATTTGTGTATTTATATTGTAGTGATGATGCACTATGTACAAATCCAAAATAAAATTCTGTTCTGTTCTGTTCTTTACAAAGTTTTATGTTTTAACTATTTTTATTCTATCATTCTAGACAATTTGGATAAGTCTAATAATCTAATGTCAAAATGCAATAGATTTCACTTATCAAAATGGTTTTAAAACACAAAATTTACTTAAATACTAAGATGACATATTCAGGTGTAAACAGACCAGACTTCAAAATTGCATTTGATATAGATTTTAATCATATCTTTTCCGATCCTAAACCATTTTATTCTTATTATAACATATTAAATTTGCTTCAATTGTTTTCTTTCTAAATGTTGTGTAGCTTGAAAATCTACCCTCATGATACCAGTGCCAGTTGCATGTATATTTTAAGTAATGTTTTCCATGTTGTTGTCAGCATTTTTAGAACAGTTGTTGTATAATTAGTTAGAAGATGGATAGACACGTGACTTCTACACGAGGAGTAATGGTATGTGAGAGAAAAATGGCTTTTTACGTAGATATATCTTATTGAATGAATGAAAAAAAACAAAACAAATAGGTGTCTTTCAGGTTTGTTAATACAACAGAAATTGATATATCAACACAAATTTACATCATTGTTTTACAGCATGATTATAATAAATGCATGCACATACAAAAGATTTTGCTCATACCAACATTTTCTCAGGCGTTTCCCTACTATATCATTTCAATACTATTTCTTTTTAATATCTTTTTGATAATGTTTTATGGACTTTATATATCTTATTTTCAGAGGAAGGGCTAAACATAGTATAAGATGGTTAATTGCAGAAGACAATATTTAGCGAGAGTCCAGCCTTTTATAGTTTGGCGAACATAAATCAATCCGTTGATTGGATGTGGCAAGAATTTTCCATATTTCCAAGTTAGGAGAGGCTAAATGGGTTCTGTTTGAAAAGATCCAGCATTTTTGAAAAGCAATTAACAGGTAAATCAAAGAAAAACCCTCTATATTTTTAATACACAGTTGGTGTACCAGATTCAAGTTTGTGTGCTACTGCATATATAACTTTTCTAAAGGGAATTCACATTTGTAAAAGTTAAATGGTTTTCTTTTAAAAGGGTTTTATTTTTAGTGTCCAAAACTGCAGTTTTCAATTTTAGTGTCCAAAACTGCAGTTTTCTTACATTCTCGGAATTACTAAGATCAGGGATTTGTTTGTTGGTTTTTATGTCACATCAACACTTTACAGGTCATATAATAACTTCAAGCTTTACTGGTGAAGGAAAAAGTGTGACATAGGTATTATTTTTAGCGCGTAGAACCACCAATGTTCTATAAGCTAGTTTGGGATAGCTATGTCAGATAATAGATTCCAAAACCCAGGCAGGACTCGAACCTACACCGTTAACACCGTAAGAAGCAAGTGTTTTGAAGTCAGTGACCTTAAACACTCGACCAAAACTTCCAATTTAGTTATCTGTATGAAAGTAAAGGTGCCGTTTTGTTCAGTATTTCCTAGAGCTGTCATTGATTTAGTGCAAAGCATATCAACGATATATCGATATCAAGTGACTAAAATCAACGATACACCAATATATCGATAATATCCTATACTCATTTGTCTGTCATTCACTTTCATACCTGTTTCAATGATTTCAGTCAAAAACATGTTCTGTACAGTGTCTTGTCCACTGCATGATTTTTTCCAGACAATATTTTTGTCACCATTGCTATGAAATAATTCCACTATATAACAAAAGCATAACATTAGATATAAATTACTGCTTCTGTATATATTTTGGGTGAATTTTATAATTTCTAGACATTTAATTTATTAGTCAAAAGTATCGATTTTTTAAAATGTGTATCGATTATTGATCGGCAAAAAAATATCAACGATACATCAATATTGTCGATATCGATGACAGCTCTAGTATTTCCTACTTATATGGCACATTACAATGTTTCACAGTCACACTTATATCAGGCGATAGGCAATTTACACCCTTTAAATTTGTTATAACAATATAACATGAAACATATTCTGAGGCACGTTTTTGCTGAGACTAAACGTGCCTCATTAATGTATGAATTATTTGTAGATAATTCAATATAAAAATATAAATCTAAAAGCACAATTCTATCTTGCTTTTCATAGTACCTACATTTTCAGTTTGACATAAAATTGTTTCATTTTAAAAGCAGAATGCAAAGTTCGCATTTTTATTTATCATATTATGTTGTAACAATTTTACAGATGCGAAACAATGTGTCTCTGTGAAAAGGGCAGGCTAAAGGTTTCAACAGCACCGGCCGAAAAAGTGGAGATATAATTTCAGCATTGAACAAGGACAGGGCAATATGTGTATATACATATGTGTAGCGTTGTCAGACTATATGGATAGTCGGGCCTCGGTGACAAAAATGATGAAATAACATTGTTTTTTTTTCAGTGTCTTAACATTCAGAAGATTCATTTCATTTTAAAATGTCTTTTTATAATATTTTTTTTTACAAACTTTCCATGGCAAAGTAAGTGCAATTTAGCATTGGTAAGATATTTACTTGAAGGATTGATTTTCAGAACAGAAATTAATGCGAATACAATGTATATAAATAATAATTATTCGTGTAAAATGTATTGCAATTTTGAATTATAATATCAATTAAGATAGATTCATACAACTCTATTCTTGGTAGAGCTAACTTGTAAGAATATTTAATGGAATCTGACTTAAAGTAAAAAAAAATAGTTATCATTAGTGGGTGGGGTAATGTTTTATACCAGTCTAAATGATGATGTATAGATTATGCAGTGTTGCGACTTTTTGAATGTAATCAACATTGGTTGAAGTGTTTTTGATTAAATAAAGCATGTTTGTGTATTAATGTGTTACTTTGTTAATGACCATATTTGCGTAGAATATCTGGGTTATTTAATTTCACAGATTTTTCTAATTGAAAACACATGATTTCAAAACATGACATTTTTAGCATTTTATACTTCGAATTTTTTTGAGGACTTTTTTCCTGTAGCAACACATATATAGTAGATAACAAATATGCAAATATCTTTTCTGAAGGAATTTGTTTGAGGTTGGGTCTTATTTTTGGCTAAAATGCCTAGCCTAGTTACAAAGAGGACATACATATTCGAATTCATCGGTGTAGAATAAATTTTCTGCAGTTACTGAACAAAATCAGTCCTTTAACATTTAAATTAGACAAGAAGTAACAGTATAGTAGAGTATTCAAGTGAGATAGTTAGTACATTTGTATAACAAGTAGAGATTTTGATGCTAAAGCATCAAGTCGCCGGATAGAAAAATGATTGTATTATCATAAATATAAGAAAATATAAGTTTAATGGTTCAAGTATAAAAATAAGAGGAACAATGAGTTGAGTAATGTTTGACACTGAGGCTTGTAAGGCAAGTGCTATGCTGGTAATTCTTCTTGTAATTATACTTTATACATATACTGTTGTACCATACATTGAAATCCGTATAGGTTACTAGTTCAGATTCAGATAATTACCGACAAATAATTACCGATCATCGAATATTTGCAAAGTGACTATGAAAATATATATGTTTAATTATTACATGAAACAATACAATTTTACTGTAAAAGTGTTGTACATCATTATTATGTGCTATAGAAAAAAATATATAATTTAGTTGAAATCAATACACGTATTCCAATCGTTACATACGATATATAAAATTAACGTTTAATTGCCTTTCAGTGCGATAAACTATCAACACAAAGATAGTTTATTATTTTTTTCTATGTATCTAATACGATTCCGGACCCTTGACGTCATACCGTTTTGGAAACCTGCGTGACGGAAACCGACGGAATATACCGAAATCAACGATTACCATTATAATTACAGAAAGGGCCAAGTTAAACCCTTTACCAAGAAGAAAGGAAAAGGTTTTGAAAATGTATTTTTAAAGTAAACAGGTTTCTCTTATGATATAAAGTATGAACCTGATTCATGAAAAATAACTTATGTAATTATCTGTACAAAATTACAATGATTTACATCTTATCAGTTACCACCATTAACAAATTACCTGTCTTATCAGCAATCTGTTACTATTAATAGATTTTATAACGATATACAACATATATAAACATGTAGTCACGTGATTCTTACGAAAGACCAGGGAGCATTTGTTTATAATTAGATAAAATAATGTAATATAAAAGGTCTCATAAAAATAAACAACCAAATAATTCTAAAGAGTCATTTCAAACAGCATTCATGATTTATTAATTATAAAATAGCAATGCTTGACTCATAGAAAAAAGTAATAGTATCTCTAATATTCAATGACTGATCCTTGGGGATACGTTATTGATTCATTTTATGAAAATTGTAATGTTGCTTTTTAAGACGTCAATATGTGCATATTTCATTCCACTGAGCAAAGTTATCATAATTTTTATGTTTGATTTTTTGTGATTACTGAAAAATAATTGTTGTCTTTAATTGTTCAATGACTGATATGCTTTTATTTTCAGATTTTAAGGGCTTTTCCTACCATAGGTATAATATTAAACTATTACAAATATAGTCGCCGGTTTCTACCGGCGACTAATAAGATTGTACCTTGTTCAACAGTAAGTATGTATACGGCAACTTAGCACAGTCCGACATGGTATGATGTTTGTAATATAACTGTATTGATAAATAAGGCAAAATTTGTTTTCAGATAATAATGTTAATTAATAATCTTAATAAACAGGCACTGTATTAAATTAACGAAAGAGAAAGAGTTTTTCTTTATAAAAAAGTGTACGAGACAATTTGCTAAAGGTCTAATTGTTTTGAGATCAAAAATCAAAATCTTAAAAATTGGATGAGCAATAGAGCAATGCACTCACGAAATTTCTTTCCCTGCTGATTTTATAGATAACCAATTACTCTGTACATGCATTTTTCTTTCTATATTTCTAAAACTGATTTTAATTTTAACAAAGAATTGAAATTGAGATAAACAAAAATAATTGAAAAAAGCAACAAATAAAAACGACAAAAAAAAGAAAAAACAGAACGTTTTATAGTTCGATTTCGATTGATTTTATAGTGTAATATAAATTTCCTACAGCCCTCTTTTATTGAATTTTATTATTCTTGAATATTTTTAAACAGTAATAAAATACGTATAAACATAATGGATATTTATTTGGTGTAAACACTTAAAATTTGAACATATGCCATGAAAAAGAAGCGATAAAAAGTTTTCTTTGAAATTCTTAATCACATCATAACATTTCACTGTATCACTTTAATTTAAATGGTTCATTATTTAAGGAATTAAAGGCGAAAAATCATACACACAAAAATTAACTCGTTATTTACGCTGATAAAAAATATATCAAACACACTTTGTTTCAATTTTGCAATGAAATCGATCACCAGTTCCTTGCTTTAATCTTAACCGTTAGATAATACAGCAAATTAGAAAACAAACAAAAAGTATTAAAATACAATATTTAACAAGTACATGTATATAATAAAATGAATTTGTGATATCTAAGTTAAGAATCAATACGAAAAATAAAAAACTAAACTTAACTTACCGAACCATTCGAATATTCTGATCTACAACCGATACACACAGAGGTAGCACCGCAAGCACAATATGGTCATTTCCTTTTCAAAACATTTCAATATACCATTCACATATAATACATTGTACAAAGATTCTTATTGCCTAATATCTCTCTGTCACAATTTCCCTTTCTCTCGATGTAAATTAATTGATTATTCTTTCAGGAGTATTTTCCTAATGCGTATCCAAAAAGAATTCAGTCAAGTTATGCACAATTTAGTTTTCAGAGAGAACATTTTATTTAACCATTCCACTTAAACACTATAAAATAAAAACTTTTCAAACAGACGTTTTATGCCACATTTAAGCGCTTAAATATGTCCTGTTAAAAACAACAAAGAAACACCTTAAAGAAAATATTTCAATAATTAACACAGCAAAAGACCCCAATATAATCAAACAGAATTCCGATGGTCTTAGTGAGATCCAAATTATAAACTACACACATCACCTCTCGAAATAAAACAATTTTATTCGAACCACCTGTTCAGAGAACAACATTCGAATTGGCATATAGCAAATACCATTTTCTACGAGGGCATTGCAAATAAATTAAAAATGGTTACTAGCTAATTTAAACTAAAAGGAACAGCAGGTGTACTTTTTTTTTAAATTAAGAATAATGATTTTCTTGAGTGAAATAAAAATATCTAAATCGTTTGTTATAAAAATCTGCAAATCCACTTATTTTTTTAAATAATGTTTTTTTATATATTTACGTGAAATATTTAAAAGATTTGATTATAATACCATTGTGGAAATTGTGAAGCTGAAGTATTTTAAGTTGAGTTTATAGTTAGTGTGTAACTTTGTAGCATCCAATGATTGTAATATCATTGTGAAATTGGAAAACAGAAGTATTTGAACTTGAATTTATAGCTAGTGTGTATTTTTGTAGCATTTGATGATTGTTTTGATGAGGAGAATATGCAGGAAAAGGTCATAAAAAATCAAGTGCTGCAAAACCATTTGCATACGGCATCGGACACAAAATAAGATGGATTTTAAGAGAATATTAAGTGTAAATGTTATCTATTTTGATGACATTGAAAGGTGTCACTTGACATATATTCCTAAAGACTATGACCACCTGCACTTGTTTAATGCCAGGAAAACATCAAATACCCATTTCCGTACATCAAATACAATGTTCCGATTTGCTGAATATAGTGATATTCATTGCTTTTTGGGAAGTAAAATAGATATAAAGGGATGTACTTGTTGCTGAACATAGCAAGTTCACTGTTCAAAACGAAAAAACGTCTAATATATCACTCAGTCACTGATAAAACTATTTTATCTGACAAGAAAGCTTTTTCTGTTTTCAATATTCAATGCTTTATTATATTCACGCTATTTCTTCTAACTCTATTATTTCCCTTTTTGACATTGAATTACATTAAATTAGAAATGCAGATAAAACTTCCGCAGCTCAAAACGAGCTTTACACTACATACAATGCAAACAAAGTCTCAGTTAAGTTTATCTTTTTTTTTCAAAAGTTGAAATCATTGAAATCAAGAAACACAATATCTTTTGTAGGAATGGAAAAGTAATTAGTAAATATGTCAGTCCTGTCATACTTATACTTTAATTAGAAATGAATGAATATGCCCTGAATTGGGACAGATCCATTTTGCTTCGTCATGCTGAAAGTAATGTATCTAGTCAGCAATTTGCCACGGCCACGGAATTTCAATATTTTTATAAAACGCAAAATAGTATCATGGAAAACATAGCACATGCTTACTGTCTTGACTTTTTAAATTATTTCTTAACTACAACAATATTGGCGTGTAACTGACACATTTAGTTATCATTTTAAAAACAACTACCTAATTGCTGATGAAAAACAAGTGTTTCCTGTGAGTCTCTGTGATTCTTCTTAAGCCAAAATTGCTTGAACAACAGCCAGACTAAAAGAGGCTCAAAGTTCTTGTTGGCCTGTCAGAAGTATTTTAAGTTTCTTTGTCCAAAGAACATTTACGCAAAAAGACTTCAAATCTGAATTAAGAAGCTAGCAAAGAGTACTTGTTCCTTTGAAGGCTTTGGAATGATGTTTTATTATTCCTTTTTCAAAATACTATACATCTAATAAAATCTTACTAATTTATTTGACTGAACTATCAACTGTTTTAGATGAGAAATCATGTATTCTCAAAGAGAATAAGTTATATACAAAGGTTAACAATTTTACGATCCTGGGAAAAACACACTTTGCTGGGTTTTTTTTTCTAAAATAAGTATAAAGAGAATATTACAATAAAAATAAGGAAATAAATATGTAAGACCGGCAAACCGATAGTTTATTTATTCTACACAACTTCAAAAGATCACTATATCAGCTTTATTATTCACCCCATTCAAGTTTGAGTTTAACCCAATTTATTCAACATTTTCAATTATACTGGTTCATGATCACGATTTCATTTTCACGAATTCATAAAGATGAAATCGGAAAATCCTAACACATGTATTGAACTTCTAAAAGTGTGGCTAC